TTTATGATGTGTATTCATGCCAAGAACTTATGTACTTTTTGTGATGTTGGGTGACATTGATGGCATTACTAAATTGGATTGCCAGAGTTTGTTAGTGTGAAGCTGTTCTTCAGCAATGGAAGAATCTCTTCAAACTCTGAAAGCACACTGGCAAGGTAAGTCCCTATGTAAGAATGGGTTTATATTCTAAAAGCTGTCTTCAATCACTCTTGAGTACACATGCAGTTCAGCATGCTTTTTTGACATATTCTAGAAAAGAACTCCTAATAATTTTGTTCTAGATGTCTATCAGACTCTCTACAGTTTCAGAGCACTGCCTATCCTGTTCCTGGTCTTCCTTTCAGCAGACCCACCTCCTGCCTGTCGTAGACAAACACCTGTAGCAGTCGATTTTCCAGCAGGTTGGGTAGGAGAGTGCACTGGAACAGGCTATTTGGATGTGTGGCTTGATGTCATCAGTTAGTTTCTGCTCTGTTTATTTGAGAGGAATGTGGTCACCTGGGCTTTCTGTACCCTGTACCTCATCGTTGATCAGGCAGGACACGTTGCCCAAGTCTGAGTAAAGGAGAGCGCAGTGATTTCACAGCAGTCGCCTTGTGCCAGAGCACGAGTCTCTGAGAAGTATGGGAAGTGTTGTAATATCTGCTAGTGCTCCACTGACTACAGATGTTTTTTTTTAAAAAAAAAAAAAAGGAACAGAAGCTGAGGGACCCAAATTTGTCACTGGACCCGGAAATTGCAGTCATTTACAGTAAGACCACCAGGAGTGGTCCCAGTTCAGAGACCTGCTGTGGTTTGTGGTTGCAAGCAGGGCCTGGAGAGGGTTTGGCAGCAGCAGTGCCAGTGTCTGTGCTAGCTCTGCACAAAGGTGCTTGTTGGAGTCTTTGGTCTCTGTTCCAGTGACACACCATATGCCAGCCTTGCTCCTGCAGGGATACAGCCTCTGTGTACACTGGCTAGCTTTCACTCACTTTTCCATCCTTCACACCATGAGCTGCAGAAGCCTTTTATAGTTTAGTGCCTTGCAAGTAACTGTAGTTCCTCTATAGCAACACCTTGTAGTAGTGGCAGAACAGGACAGGAAATAAACTTCTAGGTTCCCCATTCATTCCAGCAGAACAAAAGAAACTGGATTTGAAATCTTATACTTCCACTTCCATCTTCTTTGATCTGCCTCCTTTTCTGTCCTGCAATACTTGTGTGGATCCCCTCTCCCACCCCTACAAAGCTGAAAATTCTTAAGAATATGGGGTTCAGGAATATTAATATTATGGTTCAGGCCCGCAGAAGAGAAAATAAATAATACAGAACAGTCCCCAACCCTTACTTGAGCATGATATTTAATTTTTTCTACAGAATATTTTTGAATTTTAGCTCAAAGCACCCACTTCACCATAGCCAAAAAAGTGCATTAATACAGGACTCAAAATTTCACTGCTCCTGTGGGGTTTTTGTTCTGAGACAGATGCTTAGCTCCTTACACTAGAGTTTGGCAGAGTCCTTGTCACCTGCATTATTCCCAGCAATCACTTGCAAGGTTGCTCAGCATTTGCATTTCAACGTGGTTTCTTCATTTTCACTTCCTTCCCCCTCCCCCCCACCAAGACCTGAACACAACGTTTACGTATTTCAGATCTTCTTTAGGCTTTCCTTGCCTGTGTGTTGCAACAGCAGTGCACTGGCTGGAAGAACTCTGAAAGCTGCTATGCTTGCCACAGAGAAGTCTGGAAAGTTGAGGCATATGCAAAGCCTAGATTACACCTCTCTTCTGCCAAGTTTAGACTTTGGGGTATTATCCAGAAAAAGCAGCACACTGACTCTTGAAAGAACCCTTTATTTGATGGATTATTTTCTTTTTCCAGTCTAAATATCAAAAGCAATTCTGGCTTGGAATTCTCTCCTTTTTCAGAAATGTCAGCACTTCACGAGAACAGCTACCTGGCCTCTAGGTACTCCCCAGTCCAAGTACTGGACAATGTATGACTCGGGTCTGAAGCAGACCCGATCAAATACATCCCGCTCTTTTTGCCAGAGGGTAAGCTCCCCAAGCAAAATCTCTCTTTGATGACCGTATCACAATTCCCTGCAGCAGTTACACCCTAAATCCTACAGACAGCACTGTATCGAGCCTTTCCCGGCCTGGCTGAAAGTTGCTTGCTGTTTAATATTGCATGACTCTCCTGCTCTTCTCACTTCGAGCTGTATTTTCCATGCATTCCTCTCCCTCCTTGGCCTCCCAGGAATGCCTTAAAAGAACAGCGATAACTTCCCTTTGGAAAACAAAACTGTGGGCTTCTGCTCTCACTGCTGTCTTCCTTCACAGAGCTTCACTGGCAGTTTCATTGTTTTCCTGGTAGTACTGTACACAAACCCTATGATTTCTGCCATATCACATAAATCTTTTTACAATTTATATTCTCGGGATGATTAAATTTAAAGAGAATGATCAATAGCATGTCTAATGGTGTTGACAGCACTTTCATTCTAATTAACTGAATTTTAAGTACAAAAAGGCTATTCCTGGCCCAGGGATCAGTACTGTAATTGCCTGTTTGATTAGCAGTTAAAGATCAGTACTATAGTACAATATAACGTGTCTTGCTTACCTAGTTCAAACTAAAGCACAGCAGCTTTAGAGTGGTTCAAAAAGCAGCTTGTGCTGTCAAAGCAACTGGTTTTTAAGAAATAGCACACATTAGAGTGCTCAAAAGCACCTTCAGTGCCAGCTGGGAGCCTACAGCCATGACAATGAACAAATGTGGTACTAACAAGAGAAGTGGGAATTCAAATGTGTCCTTCAAAGTAGTCCAAGACTAGCTTTAAAAAGTAAAATTAGAGCCTACAGCAGCAGCAAGCAGCTGGAACAGAGCTGACAGGACGACTATCTCAACAGCAGGTCATGCATTTAAACAAACTCTATACTGCCAACTTCAGACTGATTACAATATAACTATGAAGGCATACCTGGCATACAGTTTTTAAAAACTTGCTTACAACTAATTATACAGTCCCTTTAAACAACTAGCTCCTGTAAAACTCTGCACCAGTACCTGAAGTGGACTATTAATCTACTTAATTCAGAGGTTAAATCAAACTATGAATGCATTAATTCAATATAGACGAAGCAAATCCTCACTAAAAAGTCTACAGCATGACCGATTTTCACTTTGTTTAAAATGAAGAACCCACAGCCCAGACAGCCTAATCCTGCAAAAGCACTGGGAGTCCTAGTACTAGGTAGTAGATGTGCAACATGTTTTATCCCTTTTTTTTTCCTTTTTTTCTTCCTCCTTAAAAGGCCTTCCTGAAACACTTTCTCCAAAGCTGCAATCTGAGCTACTTACTGCTGATAAAAGCAGGTGAGCTCTCTCAAACTTTACAATTCTACAGGGCTTAGCCTGTCAGAATCACAATGTAGCATATTTTTACCCCAGAGATACTGTTCTTCTGTATGACAGAACTTCTCTGAGAGGTTCTTCCGAAAAAGTCTGTCACAATAATGCCTCCTGTTTACTTTAAATGAATTACGGCAGCTTTACTCTTGTGGCAGAGCTGAGCTGCTCATTTCTAATACATATGGTTACCTTAGCACGTTCTCACGATCGCTCTACATTGTAGCAAAGATGTCGCAATTGACCACAAAGTTCAGGGAACAAGTCTCAGAAATAGAGCTTAAGCATCTCCTTAAGGAATAAGGGAATTAATTTTAAAAGACTTAATAACTGTAAACTGGTAATTACAAATTCTAAAGAGTAATTTGAAATATCAGGGAACCTATTGCAGCATTGTTTTTTAAAGAGAATCCTAACATTTTAAATCTCTCTGTAGTGTTTAGGACAAGCAGAATCCCATAAAGTTGCTTATTCTATTTCAATTGCTTGATGTCCAAGACAGCTGCAAACAATGCAAGCTTCTAAACATTCCCAGAGCATTTACCTTTGCCTTACCTTTTTCTGTTAACCTTTCACTGCAAAATGGTCCCTGCAATCTGACAGTAACCTGACAGTGGTCATTCTTCCTCCTGCCACATACATAATTTTTTTTCAGGTATAGTTTATTTGGAAAGATTCTACTATTAATGTACAACTGCCTTTCTGACCCTAGATCATGCTTCCTGCTGAAATTCTGGGATACTGTCTTCATCTTAAGTGATCTCAAAACAGTAAAAAAAAAATTAAAATAACATATAGACAATCATGTAATAGTTTACTTAAAACATTAGGGTTCATACCTAACAAACAGGATGAGAATGCTGTATTTTAATTGTTTTCATAATTAAGTTGTACAGCTTCATCATATGGATTTGATTCTCATCGAAACACAAAGTGTGTTACAGAATGTTCAGTAATCAAACTGGCAGTGCAACTTCCTATCTATTGATCTTAATCACCCAGATTAAGTGCCATTAAAAGAAATTTCAGATTATTGTAACATATACTGGATTTCCTGGACTGGGGCAGAGCTGCAGCATGTTATTCAATTCAGCATGAAACACTGTCCAGGATCTACCAGACATGAACAACTTCAACCCCTCCAAGTCTGACACTCCCAGTAAATGCAACAAATCAATAAGCAGAACTTCTGGAAGTGGAACAAGTATCTCCTAACAGCAGGGGAAGTTAAGCATATTAGAGGATAACAAGGTGAAAAAGTCGTTCCCATTCCCATTGCTGTAGTCTGGTAGAATTCCTTTTACCACAAAAGCAAATGGGTATCTAAGAAGTAGATAGTTCTATAAAGGATTCAAGACAGAAATTAATCACTTGTTTTAACCACACACACTATTAGAGTGAGTGTAGATAAACTATTAGGTTTAGATAAATTAATCCATACAAGATGATCTTCCTACATTTGCTTTTGAAAGACAGTTAAAATTAAATTGTTGTAGACTTAGGCTCACTGTCACATATAGGAGGCTTCTGGCACCTACTCTGTTCAACTGAGCAAATACTAAGTGGAAGTAGCCACATCTATGAAGCCACAGAGAATAAATGCATTCAAGAACAACTGTTCTTCGTTTTATTGAATCGTTGAAGCAGGACTATAATTCAAGTATATTTAAATCAAGTGTTGGTCCACTCATCATCAAGAATAATTTTTTTTTAGAATAACATCAACACAAACGGAAGGAATATGAAGCATCGTAATAGGAACTTCAACTGTATGTGATGTTAGACCATGATCAGACTGGTGCTACTTCAATATTTATAGACTCTCCACTGTATAGACCAGTCACACCAGTGTTATTTACCTCCAAAACATTGAAGTTCTAAAGGATCCTTCTGTCTACAGCTCACGTCTGAGCCATCAACATGAGATCAAAATGCCACTTGTGCCACTAGAATCGTAGTCTTGTAGAAATATTTTTATATTTAGTATTTTACTAAAGAATAATTACTATCCTCTCTGAAGTTACATATAGCCATTATAAATTTTTACATCAAACATTTACAACTGGTTCATAATATACAACACAACAATTTAGCTATAATTTCTAATTTTCCAGTGTAAAGGTTTCAAACAACATGTTGCTATGATAATTGCAATTTATCTGTTTTGCACACAGTCACAGGCAGTACAGGGCATTTCAAAAACTCATGTTACATGATTTAAAAAAAAATGGAATGATGTTACTTCAATAACAATTACTTTGGGGATTGTTGTTCTGTTGGGTTTTTTTTAAACAAGCAGATTTCAATTTCTAAATCCCATATGGTGCTACTACTAACATTTAAAATAGGCTTGAGAGGGAAAAAAATACTTAGAAATAAATACACCTTTAAAAAAATTCCACGGTTAACCATGTCAGAATGTTTTCCACACAGTTTAAAGGAGACCTTACTCTTCATCATTTTCTTGCGCTGAATACAGTGCAGTTCAATCCATTCTTATCTTCTGATTTGTCATCCTATAAATAATGCTGTCATAACCAGGATCCATGTTCCAGAGGTTGTAGGAGATAACTATCACAGCTAAAGCAAGACCTATCATCATCCACAGAATAATGTTGAAGATTACAGAGTAGTTGTAGTTATATGGATAGGCAAGGTTATATGGATTGTCTGTTTCACTCTGTAATAAAGAAAATGTGTATTACTTTAAAGTTAGCTTGCATACAAAACACATTCTGACTACACTGAAAATCTGAGCAATCTAAATAGGAGAGATGGGTTTTTGTCTAGACAATTCTGATGCTGGGGCACAAAATGCAGAAGTGACTATGTGACTGACATTAATGGAATCCAAAGGAATGGGCTGACAGGAGCCTCATGAAATCCAGTTAGGACAAACACAAAGTCCTGCACTTGGGACAGAATAACCCTGTGTGACAGGACTGACCAGCTGGGCAGCAGCTCTGCAGAGAGGGACCTGGAGGTCCTGGTGGACAAGGTGACAGGAGCTAGCAGTGCACCTCTGCAATGATGCAAAGCAACTGCATCCTAGACTGCATCTGGAGCGTAGACAGCAAGTCAAGGAAATCAATTTTTAAATTTTTTTCCCCACGCAGAAGGCAGAACTTGCATGCACTACTGTACTGGGGAGAAAACAGCAGAAATGCAAATTCTAACAAGACATCAGGCAAAACATTTTCACGGTGAAAGTGGTTAAGACTTTGGAACAAGCTGTCCAGACAGGCTGTGGGACTTCCAGCCATCAACTTCTCAAGAACTTAGCTGGACAAGGACCTAAGCAGCCTTATCCAACTCCTAAATTAATTCTGCTTTGAGCAGTAGGTTGGACTAGGTGACCTCTAGAGGCCCTCTTCGACCTGAATTACAATATGATTAAGTGAAGATCAAGACAGGTAAACTGACCTCTTTACACCCATGAGTAAACCATAGTCAGTATTCTGGTCCTTAAAAAAGAGTTATGCTCAAATGAAGAAGTGCTGCCGTTTGGATTACTTTTAATAAATGAGATACAGAAAAAATGTGCATCTACTACCTGTGAAGACTGGAGAATGGAGCGAGTCTTCCTCATGAGGGGAGAATTAAATGCCTTCACAGCTACCACTTCTACTACTGCATTCCCGCTATACAGATTAAACATCTCATCTGCAAACTGAAAAAGCAAGTGATTTATTTTAAAACCTACACTGTAGCCAGGAATTAAGTAGAGTTTTGTTAACAAGATGTACTAAACCATAAGATTTCAGCTTCAGGAATAATTATGGAAAGTTGTAAAAATTTACACTGTTTTAGAATTCCATTAAGAAACTGCCAACTTTCACCTGGTTTACAGTATCTCTTTAAAACCCCTCAACTACTGTTCAGCAGACTGCACCTTATAACTGCTTTCTGGGCTGAAACTCATTCTTTCATCTCTTTTACAAAAGGCCAATCACCATTCAGTTTCCCAATTGTATGTCTGTCAGTTTCAACAAAATATTTGGGTTCTCAACCTTCCACTGGAAAATGATAAATGTGAACATTTTAATCTGGTCCAGAGACTAATATGTCTAGTATTTAAATATATTTGCTTAACTGCAAAGAGGCTGAAGAATAATGTTTAAAGAAAAGTTATTTCGTTTAGCAAATTCATGCTTTTACACTTTTCCATCATGCTTTTGAAACTCTCAAAAGTGACTGGACTTAATAAAGATTTTATCTAATGATTACATAAGACCTGCTAAAGAATTACTATCTTGAGCACACTGATAGACGAACAGCATTATTTTAGAGGCTTGGAAATTTAGATTTAGACAGCTTTGTGGGCAAGGGGAAACTAACCACTGTACCCTGGGATAAAGATATTTCCACATTTCTTAGAGCCAGTTTTTTGAGGCATTCTCAGGAAAAAAAAACCCGCATCATGTCATGTTGATACATTGTTTCAATATATTTCTACTCCTTTACATGAAATATCTAAACACGTTGTAGAATCATGTCAACACTTTTCAGAGTGACAAATTGTACCATTCAATTTTATAACTGAACTGCATTTTAAAAACCAAACAACAAAAACAAGCATCAGGCAAGTCATCACTAATGAAGTGACAATTCAAAGCAGAAGACAGTCAATAAACTAACTCCCTTGTAGTCAACACAAAAAATTATTTCCTTAGTATTCCTGTGAGTTTTGTTCACTAGGTAGTAAGTATACCTTTTTCAAAGAGTCTGCAAGAATTTGAGAAGCATCCTTGAACTGCTGAGAGTCTTCCCCATATCGTTTTCCAACCTCTTCCAAACCAGCCAGTTCCAGAGAGTACAGGTCCGGAGAGTGATCTTTGGCTAAGTGCTTGTGTCGAGACAGCTTTGGCACACCATTGAGGGCAGAAAGAAATTAATTCATACACAGGTTACTTTAAAGACACATTTCACAAAATCCATTTGCTGGGATTAATCCAGCCTCACTTTCCACAGTCATATTCCATATTGATTAGAAAGTGGAATTTCTTGCCAACTTAACCAGATGTCCACAACTGTTTGTACAGAAGAAAGTGGATGATCATCATGTAGCATCTATTCCTAACATGAGGTTACATACATGTAGTATAGAGCTCTACTAAAAAGAAACACTTATTCACATCAGAATCTTCATTCTGTACTTGTCACAAAAATAAAACTTGGGAAAAAAAAAAACCATAACTATATTACTTCGATATTACTGTTCCCTCCGCTGAAGCTGGCCCTTGCAAAACTAAGTTGCAACTTCTACCTTGCTGTTGCCCATGTACAAAAGCAGTTTATTTAAGGAGTGTTATCCCATTGTCATAAAATCCAACCAGCATAATCCAAATTATCTCAAAAGAGAGTAGTGATGTTCTTGCACTTCTACAGGTGTGAAGCTGCAGTACTGACATCTGCTTGCACAAGAGAACAGTCTCTGAAAGCAAGAAATTGAATCTGTTCCTATCTTCCCATCTACTTTAACTACAGCATTTCTAGTCTGCAAGACAAAAAAACAAGTTGTTCTACCTCATTTTCTCAAGAGCCCCATTTCTCTCCACCAGCCCTTCACCAAGTGTGAACTTCAGAGTTTTTCATTACTATTTCTTTCACTTTAAGTAGCTGAGGACTGCAGCTTAAAGGACACATTCCCACCCCACCCCTCCAAAAAAACCCCAATCCCCAGAACAAACCCTAAACCACAGCAACAAGACAGGAGTTTCTTAGTAAAAAGATCATAAGAATTAAAAGCTCACCCCTCCATTGGAACATTTCTATCATCATCACTATTCATGCTACAGAAATCACTCCAGTCTTTTCAGATAAAACATTATGGTGATATTTTAAAGTAAAATGGTAGACAGGGCAAAGAACATCATCTTCTTAACTACCATTACACTTCTCAAGTAAGAAAACAAGGAAAGCCCTGGCAAATTCTTCACTGAGTACTTCCTGTGTCTTTGGGTATGGAGAAAAAGCAGTTCAGAATTTCCTGTTCTCACTGAACACAACACAGAAGAAACTACAGATGATTAAGGTTTTCATTTTCTTCTGCCCATGACAGGGCTCATACAAGTAGCTTGAGAATGCATTATTTAAACTGATGCAACCAGCTGATGACACACTTGAATATATACCACTAAGTTGCCAAGTACCCTGGCCATGCCTTCTCTACCTTTAAAGGAGATCTCTGAAGTTTGTGACACAATATGGAGAGTGTTTAAAAAAAAAAACAAAAAACAAACTTACCAGGCTTGCAATATCATGTAGGACTTGTAGTTCTGACAGAAAAAGTAAGTCAACCTGGGGGAAGAGGCAGAAAGAAAGATAGTTCTTTCTTTTGATGAAATCAAAGTTAGGTAAGTCTCATTTTGTTGCAAGTCTCAGTATTTTATAACAGGTTATGTCTGTCACAGTTTCAGAATATGCTAGAATGAAATTACTCCTTCAGTAATGTACTTACAAAAACCCCCTGAAACTTAGTTCCTGTAATTAGTTTAAAAAAATTAGAGTCGGCTCTCGTAGGCAAAGCAAGGGTTAAAAAAAAGAAAATAAAAGAAAAGCGCAAGCTAACTAAGAATATTGGGAAAAAATATCATAAACATTCCCACTGATTAAAGTTTTTTACCTCATTGTTTCTGCTGAGGGAGTTGAGAGGAAGGGAGCTGAGAATGGAGTTGTCCTGGAATAAGCGGTTTCGCAGTTGGCGCAGTGTGACAGAAAGATCTTCAAATACAGAGTTTGCCTTGCCCACCATGTACACTCTCTGCAAGAATAGCCGTTGTTTAATAACAACAGAGGTTAGTTTTTAGCTTTTCCAGTCACACGTTAATAATCAATCATACTTGCAATCTGTCTCCAATGAAAAGTATTTCATAGAACCAATTGGTTTTGTTCCAGCCACACAAGTGGAAAGAGGTTTACTATTCAGAACATCTGGAATCAGAAGTGAAGCAATACTCACTTCCTCACTGGGGGCCAGCTGCAAGACCACAGGAGTTTCCTCAGAGAACAAAGTATGAATAGCGTTTGCAACACTGTCAAGACTGAAAGGAACAGCCTGGAAGACAAAGTCCAGTTAGATTTCTGGGTAAAACAGGGCCTAATCGTATAAAAGGAGATAATTTGCTTAACTACAGAAGTCTAGAAAAATAGGACAACCTCTTTTTGAGCAAAGAGTATATTTTCAAAGTGATAACAACAAATAATAGGAGCCAATGTGCAAAACAACAACTGTGTATCTATGAGCAGACAATTTATTTGTATATATGGAGGACACAATCCATTTTTAAGAACTCCAAGGGGCCATGATTGTGTAATTAAGAGGCTTACTTAAGTGAAGAGTATAGCCTTGTTTATCAGTAAAGCAAGACCAACAAATGTAGAAGCAATACAAAAGGGAAAACCAATCTTAGAGCAAATGGCAAGTTATGAACTACAGAAAACTAATGAATGAAAATATACCAGTAGAAAAACAAACTCTGAAACACCAAATAAAAGAGCCATATAAAAAATTACTAAGAATAAAAGAAATCCTAACACAGTATAGTGCCATTACTGGCAAGCTAATAAACCTGTTAGTTTTTATAAACTTTTATTTCTGGGTTTCACATTTCCATTCACTAGTTAAAGAGCATAAAAATATTTTTTCTAATAATTTTACTAAATCTGTAAGCTGGGATAATTTGTACCCAGAGGTCCTGAACATGGACTCCGTGGTGATCATTTGAAACTGTTCTTGAGTATCAGAGAACCAGTACTTTGCCAGCATACATTTGAAGCCGTGGCAGAAGTTAACTGAATCAATTAAAGCTTAGGAATATGAATTCCTATTAACACAAAATAAAGAAAATATGCATTATGTACACATCAGAACTTTACCCAAGTTATAAAGGCAAATAGGCTGAAGACTACTTCAAGCACATTTAAGGTTTCCTCAAGTTAGCAATGACTACACAGTCAGGTGCAGACAATCCTAAATCAGTTTTGGTCCAGATACCATTTCAGCAATGCCAACACGTAACTGTGCCTGAACTAGACAGCAGTGCTTGAAAGCTGACATGAAAGCAGATCTGTGTTCAGCTGAATGTAACAAGAGTTCAGTATAAAGCCACATAACACTCCAACTAAACACCGATAATCTAGAATAAAAGACTGCCTAATAGCTATAAAATTAATTTCATAGGGAAATCATCACCTCCTCTTGGGGTGTGCAACAGGGTGTCAATATTAAACAAAACACTATTCAACACTGTCACTGATGATTCCACAGTTTAATCCACCAAAATAATAAATATAATTCTTAACAGGAGCACAGCAGTCACACAGAGCCAAAATGCAAGGTAAACTGGTGCAAAACAAAGTTTTCCAAGACAGGCAGAAGAAAAATTAACTAACTAGAAATAACCTGAAAAACAACTTATTTGAAAAGGGTTTGGGGGTTCATGCTGGACAAAGAACAGCTCAACATGGAGAACTGGTAAAATATCGCAGTAAAACAGATTAAAGCAGACAATGTATTTATAAAGGAGGAGTAGACACTGTACAGTTACCAATATTTTGTAAGTTACTGTATTCCTGTTAAGATGTGTTAAGCAAAAGAGGCAATGGTCATAAATTTAAAATCGGAAAATTCTATCTCAATGCAAGAAAAGCGTGTTTTTTTACTGAAAGGGTGGTCAAATACCAGCACAGGTGGCCCAGAGAAGTTGTGAAGTATTCAAAACCCAACTGGACACAGTTCTGGTCAGCCTGCTCTAGCTGACCCTGCTTGTTCAGGGGGTTTAACTAGATGATTTCAAGAGGTCTCTCTCAACCAAAATGATTCTGTGATGCTGTGACAAGTGTGAGAAAAGAGCCTCAACAAAGACAGGGAGTGACAGGTAAATGTCATGTTGTTTGCTGTTTTCTTTTTGATACACTATAATCAAATTGTGTCTTAAAGTGCTGCATTTCACAGTCAAGTACTTGAGGAAAACTCAAAGACTGCTTAGAGGGTGATACAGTACATCAAAGAATCAACATCGTATAAAATGCTACAGACACACTCAGCTGAAATAAAAAAAAGTAGGAGTTCGTGATTCAGACTGTGAATCAATGTTAACATGGGAAGCAGCAGACTGTCTCTTGGTACAAACATATTAAAACTAGATGCCTTTCAAGGAGAACATGCTTTAGTCAAACAAGTTACTGAACTCAACACTGGAGGCCCCAGGCGATCTTAAGGGCCTCTCACCTTGTACAGCAGTCCGACTGGATTATTCATCTGTACAGCCTGATCCATTGTTCTAGGGGGGGTATGTGAACCTCAAGTGAAGTGAAAAGTAAGTGAATGTCAAGGACTACACTAGAGTTATGTACTTCTCATTAGATCATGAGTCACAGAAATTGCACAGCAGTTCCAAATGTGGATACTCACATTCTCAATAGGATAAGAAATTCCTTTGTCAGGCAATGTCAACTTGTCTACTCCCTTCACTGTTACCAGCACAGTAGCTCGTGGTCTGTGAAACAGATCACCCACTGCAAGCCCAGGCCAGGAAAGCTCCTATTACAAAATAGCAAAAAAACCTTGTTTCACAGGGAGAAAGAGATGAGCCCTCCCCCATCATTACAGCAAAATACCTTACTATCTTAATATCTCTATGCAGAACAGTCTACTGGAAATTTCATGGCAAAGTAAGTTAACACCAGAATGCTTTCATCTTGAATAATGCTGTTACAAGTTAACCGTGAAGGAAATGTTTAAAACCTGCCAGTAACTTCATAGCAAAGGCTACACTTAGAGAACTTTATACATACTGGATATATCAACAGTTATTTCCCACAATTAAATTAGAAATATCAGTCTAGATTTAATACGTGAAGGCTGAATTTAAAAAACAAAACCAAAAGCAAACCCTATCAAAACCACCACTGAAACAGGTTTAGGCACATTAAAACACTAACATCTTGATATTTTCAGTACCAGAAAGAAATGAGGGGAAAAAAGGAAGGGGGGGGTGGTGTCAATCATGCCAACAACCTACTAATCTAAAACTTACAAATTCTTACAGAAACATAAAAAGATTCCTTAGTGGCTTACTACAGTTCTGTATCAGTAACAGCACAGTGAAAGCTACCTGGCTGGTTTACTCAGGCACAAAATACAAATTCATCTATTTAGAATGAACTCAGACAGATTTCTCCATTTGTGTAAAAGTCCTAACTGCTTGTTTAAGTTTCACAAAACCAACTTACCAACTTTAGAATTAAATGTCATTATGATCTGTATCACCTCCAATAAACAAAATTAAAACCTTTTAAAGCATCATCAAGGACAAAAAAGGGGTTTAGTTTTATCTTGCCTTAACAGGGGAGGAATGTTTTTGAGAATCCCCAATGTAATGCAGTGAGAACTCCAAATTCTCTACAGTGCCCCTGCTACACTGCCAGTTTATGTTTCTAGACTACAGCCTTGAGGTAAACTGCTGTGGCGTTTCCCACAAACTGCAAAATGAGTGTTTGGGCCCTGCAGTATTCTCCATACCAGGGTTGGAAGCTGCCTACACTGCAATTTCTGCCTTACTGACAACTTTCAGTTTCAGGGCTTAACCAACTTACACACTTCCTTCCCTGCCTACTTCTAGGATTTGAAATAATACTAACAGAGAACTATTTCTAAAGGATGGTACAGACCCATCACAGCAAATGAATTCCAAGCTTTGGCAGAGGCACAGAGCGAGTACTGAAACACTCCATGATAACCACATCATACCTCCAGATGACCAATATGCCAAGTCAAGTGTTCAAAATGGGCCAAACCCCACTGTTTTGCTGGGTGCTTTTACATGCAATGCACACACTACCATCTGATGTATTGTTTTTTTTCTTGATAATCAAAATATACTTCTTGGGAATACTACTCAAGAGTTCATTACTTGTTTAATGACAAAAAAGAATTATTAATTGACAGCAAGATATTTTCAGACAAATTCTAAAACACAGGCTAAACAGGCCTGCATTCAAACCAGACTCATCAGACCTCTTGCCTAGCTGAAATACAGAAGAAAGGGGAACCAGCCTCCCTCACCAGCTCTGCGAGAATATCCCAGCTTGTAGCTTTGAGTATCTGGCCGCACAGACACTGCTAGAGACGCCTGGCTTTTATGCTTTCATCTACTGCTTCAACAGCCGCTCATCCCTGCTGAAGCCCAGCAAAATTTCAGTAGGCAAAGATGGAATCAATCCAAGGGCTCCTACACATGTGCCCCACTTTAAACATCACTAAAGCTATATTCATAAATCTGATTTGGGAAAACACTACTGCAAATTAGGTTTTCAAGTCTTTGGATTACTTCCTAAGTTTTTAGTCTACTTGTTCTTATTAACTATGCTCAGCAGACAAGCTTGCTGACCTGACAAAATGCCAGCCTAGCCAAGCCATCGCTCACAGTCTTCAGAGTACCCAAGAGCAGAGCCCTACAGATAGCTCATAGGCAAGAAATGACAGCGGTTTTCACCGATTCTCAGTACATGACCACAGATGGGGGGATACAGCATGCAGTTAGGTCTCAGAGGAACTGAAGAACAGCATTGCAAAGACTCCATGGGCTTGCTTCCTTCTATAGCTGATGATTCAAATTAGCCAGCTAGCACAGCCTTTTGCAGATCATATGACTGATATAGCTCTATGCTTGGAAACCAGACTCTGACAAGTCATACATTCCTCAAGACAAACACGATGGTATTCTATATATTCGAGCCAGTGACAGGAAGATTTGCATGATAAGTGAGCAGATCTGTAGTTTTAGAGGCATTTCAAAATCAAGACTTGAAACATACATCTTCAATAGAAAAGCCCATGGATAATGCAGCTACATCTGGGATCCGCTCGCCAGGAATGGGCCAACTTCCATCTCGAAACACAACTGACTGAGGTGATCGTAAGACACTAAACTCATCACCGCATACACCTGAAAAACAAACATAAAAAGCTGTCAGAGTTCTTGCAATCTTTCTCTTACATAACACAGAAAAAGAGCATATGAGAGCTTTCATTCCTTCTTCCTCCCTCTCATGCCTGTCAGTTTACGTAACACAAGTAGTGAGAAGCGATCATTTTAACACTCTGGAATACAAAATAAAGCTTCTATATGGCAATGACTAAGGACAGACAAATCTTCATTAACAAAAGCCAGACAATTATTCAAGCAGCAGCACAGTACACTTCCACATACGCACTAGCAGGTTGTGAGTGGTGCTACAGTTCAGACCTGGTAAAGCTAACTCGGCAGAGCCAGGTGGACTCCAAAATCCCATTAGCTATGCACCAACACGGCTCTGTGTGCTTCCAGGTCTGCCTGGCATAACACCTCTTCTCATGCAGACAACAGCCTGAGCCATTGAACCCAGAGCCAAGAGGATCAGCAGAGTTTCTCAGTGCTGGCTTAAAGTGAACACTGTCGGAACAATCTGGCTTCTGCAGAACAGCTCCAGTGCCTCTGCTCTGCCTTCTTAGCCACATGACATTGTAAATCCTGCTTCTTCCTTGGATGTGGTACTGGACCCAAGCTGACTGTGTGAAGCCACAATCTACAACACTTCTCATGTCAGGTTTTCACTCATTTGGGATCCCCCTTCATTCTCTTCCCCATTACCTTGAATAGCAAAGCTGACTAACAGCATATTTCTAAACTGTATTATGATGACAGTAATTTACTGTGTAATAAAGTCAGAAAGGACTCCATAGAAATAAGGGATGAGCATATTTCAAGCTAGCTTCCTATTTTAAAGTCACTTAAGCATAACTGCAATACTGTGTACACTAACATTTATCTAAATAAATTTTAAAACGTGTTTGGTGTATATAAGCAGTAACACGCACAATGCAAAATTTCAGGCGTATTTCCCCCATGAGCAATCTGTGTAGGTTTCTAACAGAACTAATCTGACACATGACACGAGAAAATCAAGCAAGCACTAAATATTTGCAAGCCATCTAAGCTGAAGTTCTAATTATACAATCAGTCTGCATACTTCAAAACTACATGAAGAGGATAACCATCTAAAGAAAATAAAAGTATTTATTTATATGATCACAGAAGATTAGTTACCAGTCCAAGCTGCTACATACAACAGCTTTCCGGGGCATCTGCAAATCTAAAGGCTATTTACAAAAATAATGTAATAGTAAACTGATGTGTTCTGCAGTTATAATCTTCCCTAACATTACTTTAACCAATGTGACCTTGAAGATGCTGGTTTAAAGCCTGGGTCATGATCATGCATACAAATGTTGACAGTAAATCAGAGCTATGTTATGATAAACATAATATAAAGGAACAACGCACTGAGATGCAGGTCAGGGAAGGGTGGCAAAAGGAAGGAAACGGGCCAAACCAACAGATGCATACGGAACAGATTCAAGTATTTTTTGTTTTAAATTGATGAGTGTTCATTGCATGGCCTGATATCAATTTTAATGGTGCAACAACCCGCATTTTCGAGGACAGAAGTGTTTCTGGATCAATTTGTTTCAGAAGGATTTTACAAAATTACTACAAATATTTTTGCTCAGTCTGTAGGATTTCATGTGTTGCTCTCCACAAGGCTGTGAGACAGTCACACACGTGACTTAGGACAAATTGGTTTACTTAGGACAAGATTGCTTAGACTGATAAAATTAGAGCATTACCCTTTTCAATTAAACTTGCCTTTTTAGACATGTTCAAGACCTCTCTGTGATTAAAACTGAATCTGAACCTGGGAACACAAGATTTCTCCTCAGACAAACTATAATTACTTGACCACAGAACCCCACTTAAGCCACATAAGCAGTGAAGTCTGCAGAGTAAATTCTGAGATGCAATTAGTCCTGTATACTGTTATCCACCCACCTACAGAAAACTTAACTAAGCTTCAACCTTGCAGAGGCTGTACCTCAGGACAGCTTCGGCCCTCAAAGCCTTTGTGAGCCGAGACTGAAGAACGAAGGCATATTGAGAGAAAACTATTTATGGGGTGCCTGGAAGCCTTAGGTGCAGGTCGCAAGCCTGACTCGCGGCGGATGACAGAAAGCTGCCAGCGACCACAAAAGCAGCTCGGCAAAACATGAAAATCCGCACAAAGTAACAAAACGATGCGTATCCATACATCGCCCCCCCGGGCCCTGGGCTCGAGGGCGAGGGAAGTGTGCGGGCGCAGGCTCTGGGGGCGCCGGGATGGGGGGGGCTGGGAGTAAGAGTCCATGTTAAGGGGGGAACTAGTCCCTCTGTTGAGGGGGCTTGTTTCAGGGGTGAAGGGGGTCTGTTGTTGAGTTTTGGTTTTGTTTCTCTTCTCAGTAGTGTTTGAAATAGTAAGTCTGTGTGTTTACACCTGACACCTGCCTCAGCACTTCACCCCCCAAAGGCAAGCGAAGGAGCTGAATCAGTGAGTTGGGCACCTCTGTGTAATCTGTAGTTTGGATATTTATGGGGGAAACAGCCCTGAAGGTCTTAATTGGGCCCGTTAAGCTGGTAAGGAGAGGGGGCAAAGGTGAAGTGTTTGTCTGTAAAATCCTTGCCCACTCCCCTGAAAGTTTGTTGTTGAGAACAGTTACAATAACATACAGACGCTCTGCCCCAGCTGTGCTCATTTCACTCCAGCTATTCTTGCTTGTAATAGAAACTGGCAGCTGGGTGCATGCTGTTCAGTGTATGTATAGTATTCCTGTAATACGCCATGACCAAATAAGTTGTATTTCTTGAGGTCTTTGTACACCATTAGGCTCAGGGGTCTCAATGAGACGCTCTGCAAGTTGAGACCAAGAAAACGGGTTTGAGAGTGAATTCTCATGTATAGGAGGTTAAGACCTCCATTTCACTGTGGAGAACGTTCTGTAAGATTTTAATTTCTGTCCTGTATTCATCAGAAAGCATTATGCATAAGTTCACAGGAAATCCAGCAGTGCTAGGGAGTATTTTATCTGCTTTGCTGGAACAGTGCAACTGTGTCACATCCACATGGTAAGACTGTATTTATGCACTGAACGTGCCAGAGATTACCAGCCATACAGCTATTTGACTGGAGCTATTCTGCTATGTATTTAGAAATTCAGCCAACTATAGAAATATTTTGAAAATCTGCCTGAGCAACATTTCTGTCCTAAAAAATGGGCTGTGTCTAGGAAACTTAGTGAATGAGTTGGAAAATGGCAGCTAGTAAAATGAAAGTGTGTGTACAACAATTAAACAGTATATAAGAGAGTAAAGTTCTGTCCCTGCATCTGCCGCATCATAGTGTGTGATGATGGGCAAATCACTTAAACCCAGCTTTTCATAGGTGGCAATAAAAGTCTGAGATGATTTTCATAAATGGAGAGGACCTACTGCTCCCACTGTTGTCAGGTGGAAACTATATTTTGATTTTATAAACTGTGCCATGGCAAATGTGTAGTGTACTCTAAAATTCAGCATCCAGGCAAGTTACGAGCACTTCAAATTAATACTCACTTATTCTTTACTCTCTATTGCACATCACAAAGCCAATGCTGCATAACAGATTTTGTAAAAGAAATGCAAATAAATGTTTGTGAGATTACCTGGATACTGTAGCAAAGAGTATGATCAAAATAGTTGCTTCCGTATGGACTTTTCTGCCTTCAGAACAGGTTTATAAGAGCATACAGGAGACAAGGCCTGGATCACTGAACAACAAAGATACTGAATGATTGCTTTTTCAATGAGCCCAGCCTGTTTGTGCACTGAGCAAGGTGGGATGATATTAAAAATATGTTATCCTATCTTGTAGGCTGACAGTGATACCACAACATGTACGCCCATAGGTTCTTGATTAAGGTTATGCAGATTACCTTATTTTTGGCATTTACTGGCTCTTAATTGCTTGACTTTGCAAGTGTGCTGTGCTATTTACTGTGTGTATTTTCACATAATTTCATAAAGTTTTACCTATTTGGGAAAAATATGCTTTCTGTACCAAGATGCTTGTAGTCTGAAGTGGGTGATCATAGGACATCAAATATGGGTATACGCTGGGTTGCCTTGTCACAGCAGCAGCTGTAGACCTGCATGGTCCCCCTTACCCTCCCTCCCCCTTCAGACTGGGTCTACACCCAAAATGTGCATAGAAGGCAAGAAGGGTGGCTCAAAGCAGTGGGTGGATGTGATGGTGTTTTAGATGGGAATGTAGCAGAAGGTGCAGAGAAGGGAAAGGAGCATGTGAGGGAAGAAGTTTCTCCCTTCATCTATATCAACAATTTCTGACAAATATGATGTGTAAAAAGAAGGGGGCAGAGTGAATAAGACTATTTTAAAGAAGTTGTTTCTCTTATATCTGTTACTATGTCTGTGTTTCATATCTATGCATGTTAACAATCATTTCAGATTTTGTTACGATTATCTTGACAATGTTTTCCATAAAGCATTCACTCTATAAGTCATGCTACAACCAAATGTGTCATCTTATTTTTTCATATTTGCAGAGGGAATTGTATTTTTGAGACTTCAGGGTTCACAGTCCCCATTTCTTCTGAACTGGTGCTGGAAGTACTGTAATTTAATTCTAGAAATAGAAGAGAAATCAGAGTTCTGCATTTGGATATTCTTATATTCCTTCTCTGTTACTTGAATTGCTTTTTTTTTTTCTTGAAATCACGATAGAAACAAGGTTTGTGAAGAATTTTCTCCTCTATCTTATGTTTTCCTGTTCTCATCTTGGTTTATTCATTGGGAAAATAATAAATAGAAGCAATAAATTTTATTATGAAACAGTCAATTCTCACTAGCTCTGTACACTGGTTTTCAGTGCCCACTGGGTATATCTGTATGTCAGTGAAGCCCAGTATAAGAGAATAAAACCATCCCTTTACAGGCTGGCAGATTTCTAGCCATTTTCTCTAGGCTTAATTTAGATCCCAGCTGTGCTTTGAAGAGAGTGAGTTTTGTAATCCTGTAAGCAATACTTGTGACAAAATCTACACGCAGTAAAATTATTCTATTAAACTGATTTCAATCTGAGCTTCTGCTCAGGGCAAGTAAAAAAAACCGAGACAACATGCACATTAGGTCAGAAATAAT